GAATTCGTCTTTTAGAACTATGCTCACTCTTTATCTTTTTAATTTACTAAAAAGATCTGACTCATAAGAATCTGTTGGCCGTGAATCGGACTGCTCTGATCGCGCAGTATGCTTTTGATTCACTAAAAAGAACCGGCTCATAATTTGTTCATCAATCTAACTACACTGGTTGCACCTAATGTTTTTGATTCACTAAAAAGAACCAGCTTATAAGAGTCATTTGTTTGTGAATCAAATAAACTTGATTGCGTTGTTTGTTTGTTCATGCACTTGTGCCGCACCATGGGGACAATTAAAAAAGGTGTTTTTTTGGCCTTGTTTTGGTGCACGCCACGGTATCATATTTAATGCCGTCTTTAAACCCACTTTAACGACTCTGGCAAAATATTTTGCAATGGCGATGAAGCTTGCGCAACTGAGGAACATGCAGGCATGCTCTTCAAGCAAAAACAAGTTTGCATATGCACTAAAATCACATTGGGATCATCTGCTTAAAGGTAAGACAGCAACATAGTGTCGGCCCAGATCCGGCCCACATCTGGCACACGTGGATTCCACACGGCCCAGATGTGGGCCGGATCTTGGCCGACACTATGTTGCTGTCTGAGTTGTCAATGAAAGTGAAGTTAGATTTGAAGAATAAAACCTCTTGCATTATTTGTTTGCCTAGGTTATATCACTATGATTTGGTAGTTTGTCATCTAATGCCATTACTAATACTTTTTGGGCCATAAAATGAGGTCTGAATGAATTGACATAAATTAATTTGTGTGCAATGCAAAATATATAAACTATATATAAATATAAACTATATGTATTATTTAAATGTTATATATATATACAAAACCAACTATTATACAAATTATATATGATACAAATACAAATTAATATATATACAAATTAAAAATGATAAAATGCAAAATACTTAATAAATGTGCACCACTGAGTGAGTATATGGGTTTGGCTCCTGCGTTCCTGTGTTCTTGAAGACCTTTAATATCCCAGAATAGAGCATCTCCTTTCATTAGTGCTGCTGCTTTATCCAAAACTGCTCTCACCCACAAAAGCTGTGAGAGCTCATAGGGAGACCACCTCCTCCGCCGCCATCCCGCCGCATATGCTCGCTAATGAGCCCCCCTACCGTGATCTTATCCCTGCTTCTGAAAATCAGAGGCTCAATGCATGCAAGGGGTTGCAAATCACCAAAAAGAAGAAATTCTATTTGTGGTAATGGGCTTAGAGATGCTGGACGTACAGTAACTAAACAAACATGGAAGGATTGGTTTTACTGAACAGCAAAAGACACGACTCTTTGTAGCGCAGGGACTGTGGGTGTAGAATAGGGTTTCATTAAATTCTGTCTGCTAGAAAATTATTAGATCTGAGCCAGTTTGAAGCTATTGGTGGAGACTTATCACTGGGGCTCAGAGAGGAGCTTTACCTCAAATGTAGACTCTATAAACTTGTATAGATAAGTCGTACTGTATACAACTCTTGATGTATAATTGCTAGAAATGCTGCCACATCTCTGGTGGATTAAAGGCGCCAATGTATGAATTGACAGTATCATTACAGTGTCAAAGGTCAGCTGCATTCCTTTTTTCCCAGAGCTGTCCTGATTTGTGCGCACATATTCAGCAGGTTAGTAGAGAAGTGTTGTGTGTGGTGTGTTCTCAACAATGCACCTCATGCATAATTCAGGTGGAATATGCAAAACTGCAGGGTTCTTTTTGCTATTAAATGACACCAGGATGAAATATTTAACACACTGTAATGACATTTCTGGAAGTCTGTTCCCAGGAAAGGCAAATAGATACCCAGTTTTTACTTCCTTGTAGTTTCCTGCTTCTCCAATTTTTCCTTGGAGAAATGACCTAGCAATCTCATGTCTCCTTTATGCCTAATACACATTGTATGATTTGTTCAGGAAGAAAGATGACCAATCGTGACAATTTCGGTGGTCGTGGCTCCCAAACAGTGGTCCTACGTCATACAGTGAGAGAGGTTCAAAGACGGCCATTGCGTCCAAAGATAGTCTGCGATAATTTTCTAACAGTGTCAGAAATTTAACATGATCATCTCACCGTGTGTTTGCTGCTACGACCTACGTATGCTGACTAGCCAATAAAACATGAAATGGTGTTTTAATCAAAAATGGTGTATTGATCAACTTGACATGGCGCTAAAACTTAAACCTACTTACCTCAAGCTCCATTTGCGACATAGCCATGACCGCGTCCATATTTTCCTATTTTGCTTCCTTCTCTTTTTTTTTCAGTGCACATAAAAACCACTACTGCCAAAGTGCGATTGATCTTGCTCTGTTTACTAGCGCATGCTGATGACATTTTATTCTTCTATACTAACTTGCGTCGTAGCCTACGAGGTGTCATCATCGTACAGTCTACATACATGTACCCAAGTTTATTAGATCCATGTCATACAGTGTGATTTGTATTATCGGATTTTATAGGATTGCTTCAATCCTTCAATCAGAATTTCATCAATTTTTTTTTTTACTGAATTGAATGTATTTTCAATTGTATTCTGTTTTTGCATGTCAAAATGAATCTTATTTTTTCAGTTTATTTCTACTATGGAATTTTAGGATGTTTAAAATAAATAGTTGATATTTAAATGACAATCCATTACTACATTAGTAGACTCGTAGCTTCTGTCATAAAAGTCTCATCTGCATTGTTTTGTTGTTTTTCCTTAAAAAAAGTATAAATATTTATAAAAAAAGTTATTTGTTGCAATCGATTTGTAATGTAATGCAAAATAATTGTATACATTATTTTGTGCATTATTATTAATATAATTTCTATACAAAATCAACTTTTATACACATCATCTGCGAGGTTTCAAATAATGTGAAATGAAAAATACAAAATAAATGTAAATTGAAATCTTCTTTTCAGTAAGGAAATGAAAGAGCAACTAATTTTAGCATTTGTTCTGATTTAAGAATTGGAAATTGTCATTTAATGTATTGATCTCAGTGGAATCCACTTGAACTAATATAGGATTATTTCTCCTTTCCAGAGGCAATATCAAGGAAATCTCCTCTATGGTTTTTTGATGGCTCTCATATCTATTATTGATCCTTAAATTAGAAAAAATAAGTCTTGAGAGATGCTGGTTTTTATTATCTTATAGTGTACTAAAACATTCATCCAAAGACGCACCAATAAGTACAATGCCTAAAACAAATAGATGCCGGAATGACTCTGATACTCTAGAGAAGAAATTTTCTCCTGCGTTATCAAAATGTCTATCAATGTAGTGATGATGGTATTACAGTTGCTAATCCATATGGCGTCGAGATTGGATTTCTGCTGTAATTATGTCTGCAGCTTTGCATTGAGAAGACAAAATGAACTGTTGTACTGTTCTAGGGTCAGACAAATCTGTTGTTTGAATATGTGCTTAACTTGATATTTAATCTTGAATGCTTTGATTTCACTAATTACATTTCACAGCATGACAGATGTTATAACTGCCCCTTGGGCTGCTCCATGACCACAATTCTATAACAAGCAAGGGCTCAGAAAGAAAGCGTATTAGTCACAGTTTATAGAGAGCATTTCCTTTGGGAGGCATTTATAAATGGGATGATGCATTCAATAGGTCAGCTGTTTGTTTAGCATAGTGAATATGTGCAGTCCAGTTATTTGAAGGCATTTCATAATGAACTGTTCAGCCTAGAAGGAAGCAAGGATGCATTTGTTCTGTTTATGAAATAGTCCTAAAAATATTTAGCAGGACATTCAACTTTGATAATAATACGAAATGTTTAGAAGCAACAAATCAGCATATTAGAATGATTTCTGATGGATCATGTGACACTGAAGACTGGAATAATGATGCTGAAAATTCAGCTTTGACATCACAGGAAAAAATGACATTTAAAATAAATTGTATAGAAACTGTTTTTTTTTTTAATTGTGCAAATATTTCACAATATTACTGTTTTTAGAAGAAATAAATGCTGTCTTGGTGTCCACGTATAACCATTGTGTCTAGACTTTAGATGGCTTTCAGTGTCACTGAGTTTGAGCTGGAAAGAAAGCCAAGATTTATCTCCTGTCTTTATGTATGCCTCCAACAATCACTTGTGTGTTCTACTCCACTAATCTGTAATTACATTCAGTCAATGATGGTTTCACTGAACACACTTGCAAACAGGACATTAGGTGTTTATCGTATACATGTATGTGATACATGAAGGCTACATACATTACAGACTATATTAGATGGTGGATTACTACATTTTAAAAAGTAACTAGTAAATGTTCAGCTAGATTCATCTAACATTTGGTGGACGTGCAATCCGTTCGTTCAGATAGGGGTGAATTCAGGTTGATTGGGACACATTTTCCCAGTCATCTCTATGGCAAAAAGTGTCCTGAATTCACCCCTATATAATTTCACTGGGCATACCACTTTTTTGTTGACTGTGCACACTCTCATTGGATTCATATCCAATCTCTATAATTTAGAGAAACTTTGAGTAAATTTAATTTTCCTAAACGAAACTTCAGCTGAAGTTACTTGGCGTGCCTTTTCCTTAGTCTTGCTACTGCATTTCGTAGCATTACTGAGATTTAATGTTTGCCTGCTGTCTCCACACATTTGACTGTGAAATATTAAAGAGCTATGAATAACTCGCTAAGTATCACACTGCACACACTTCTGTCAAAAACACGAGTAATGGTATGTTAAAGTTTGAGGGTTTATAGTTACAAAAAGTTGTTCAAAACCACTTGAAAAATCAAGTGCTCTCATAGGAGTAGTGTTCGGAAATGAGGTGCGAACTTTCCTCAATCTTTAAACCTTTAACAGAGCTGTAAAACTAGATAAATAGCTTGTTCTCCCTCAAGCAGAATGTTTTGTTCTCAAAAACAATGGTTGAGTTGTTATTCACAGATAGGTCGGTGCTTTGAAACATGACAATCTGATATGCATTGCTGAGCAGATGCTGTTGTATTTCTGTGCAGGTTAAAGTGATGGTACGCGTTTGTCCTTCAACGCCCGCCAGCGCTGCAGAGTCCAGCTCTTTCCTGAAGGTCGATTCTCGTAAGAAGCAAGTGACCATCATGGATCCAGCGGCTAATTCTCAGCAGAATCAAACTCAGAAACGCGGCAGCTCCAACCAGGCTCCTCCAAAGATGTTTGCATTTGATGCAGCCTTCTCCCATGATGCCTCTCAGGTGAGGGGATTGGTGCTAACCATTAAACATGCAGAGTCATTTCAGCCACAAGTGGCAGAATTGCAAAATAATTGCTTCCTTATACAAAGCAACAGTATGTTCTTAATACAGGGAAAATCCCCCTGGAGAAACCTGTCTTAAAAACAAAGGTTCTTTATTGGCATTGGTGGTTCCATGAAGAACCTTTAACATCCATAGAACATTTCCATTGCACAGAAGGTTCTTTATGGTGGGGAAAAGGGGCACTGAAAATGGTTCTTCTATTGCACTGCTGCAAAAACACCCTTTTAGAACCATTGTTTTAAATAGTGATTAAGGTTTAAGACAAAAATGGCAGCATATGTCACCCCTCTTGGGATTTTTAAACTATAAGGCTACCAACCCAGATCTTTAACCTCATAGCTTAATAATGATGATGACAAGGCATTGCTGCTATATAGAAGATATTACACACACCAAAAAAAGTGTTTTTGCCTTATTGTCAAGTTAAAATATCTAAAAATCCTTAAAACGACCTTTCGTTCATATTAACATTTACACTTTAATCAAAAGTGACAGTTTATTTGAGAAGGAAAAAATTTGATATTAACTGAAAAATCTGTCAGAGCAGTGAGACAAATTACACTTTTATCAAATAGACTGTACATTCTCTGAAAACAAGTCCTAATATCTTATGCCATGCTGCTTCTCAAGTACATTTGTCAAGTACTTTAAGTCATGCAATTTGAGTTATTTTTGCAGAGCATGAATTTGATTGGCTGTTCACTGTTTCCTGGCAGGCAGAGGTTTGTGCTGGAACTGTGGCTGAAGTCATCCAGTCTGTGGTCAATGGAGCAGATGGCTGTGTATTTTGCTTTGGACACTCCAAACTAGGTAAGAGACAAATTACATATAAGATACCAGCGTCTCTCTAATATATGAGGCTATCACAAAGTGCTTCCATTGCCCCTTTCTAATATCTCGTAAGTGCCTTTTTAGGCAGACATCTTTCTTGTCTTTGTAATGAACGTCAGAGCCTTAATACATCCTGTAATGTTTCCATCTCTCATATGTGTTTTATATTCCATAAATAACCATCCCCCGGCGTTCCCAACACCTCAACCGCTTAAATTAGATGGAATTAGTTTCATAGCATGCATGGCAGACTACAAGATGATCTCACCCTGTTTAGCTGTCATTGTCCATTGTTGTCTCTGGAAGATTAGTGTAAAATTTAACCAGCCATTTGCTTGGAAAACAATGGGAAAATGCTACTCTGGTTGCTGGTCAGTGATTTGATGACAGCGTGTAATTCCTCAGATTCCTCGTTTCCATTAACCTTTACTCGAAAACCAAAGACCGGCTCATACATCATTGGAAAAGCATTCCACAATGATTTCATTGGTCAGCTGCCTAAAGCTAATTAACTAGCTGTAATAACCCAGACACTGGCCTGTTAGTGGTTTGAAAGTAATTACCTTAGACATTTGGCTTTACAATGTGGCTGTATTATAAACAAGAAACAAAAGAAACATGGTGAACTTGAGCTGTGCAACGAGCCGACCCCTGGTCACCATTGGTGCTTTAGCGCATGAATACATACGATAGGTTCTTTTAAGATGTATCTGGCATGAACACGCAGATTTGTTTTTGTTTTAAACCTTAAAATCAACCGAAGAGTGAATTAATAATCGTACATAATACTTCCTGACCTCTAGATCATGTATGTCATGCTGGCTGTGAGGATGCAAAGGCCATACGGTGACTATTAAAATACTCTAGCAGTGTTCTGGAATGAAGCTTTATCTTCTGAAACTGCTTGATCAGCCCAGAGGCTTATTTATGCTTTTTTTTGCAATAAGTCAGAATCCATTAAACTGAAGGACAAGTTGAAGCCTATAATGGATTTGTGTGTGTAAAATTTTTAAGAGAGATGCTGTAGTAATTGAATCTCCATCCAGTCTGATTGAATTACTGACTCTCAGTTCACCTGCTACAGGACATCCATCTTATCTTCCGCCCTGGAAGTAAAAGCCCGGCGACTTTAAGTGATGTGAAATACCATTTTCGAGAGAGCAGGTTTGATATGCTACAATCAAAACATAAAAATCATAAAAATAAAGTACATAAATTATAAATAAATGTAATTGAACTTATTCATGTTTTTTAATTTAAATACAGGTCCTTCTCAAAAAATTTGCATATTGTGATAAAGTTCATTATTTTCCATAATGTAATGATAAAAATTAAACTTTCATATATTTTAGATTCATTGCACACCAACTGAAATATTTCAGGTCTTTTATTGTTTTAATACTGATGATTTTGAAATACAGCTCATGAAAACCCAAAATTCCTGTCTCAAAAAATTAGCATATTTCATCCGACCAATAAAAGAAGTGTTTTTAATACAAAAAAAAAAAGTCAACCTTGAAATAATTATGTTCAGTTATGCACTCAATAGTCAATACTTGGTCAGGAATCCTTTTGCAGAAATGACTGCTTCAATGTTCAATGCGTGGCATGGAGGCAATCAGCCTTTGGCACTGCTGAGGTGTTATGGAGGCCCAGGATGCTTCGATAGCGGCCTTAAGCTCATCCAGAGTGTTGGGTCTTGCGTCTCTCAACTTTCTCTTCTCAATATCCCACAGATTCTCTATGGGGTTCAGGTCAGGAGAGCTGGCAGGCCAATTGAGCACAGTAATACCATGGTCAGTAAACCATTTACCAGTGGTTTTGGCACTGTGAGCAGGTGCCAGGTCGTGCTGAAAAATGAAATCTTCATCTCCATAAAGCTTTTCAGCAGATGGAGGCATGAAGTGCTCCAAAATCTCCTGATAGCTACCTGCATTGACCCTGCCCTTGATAAAACACAGTGCACCAACACCAGCAGCTGACATGATACCCCAGACCATCACTGACTGTGGGTACTTGACACTGGACTTCAGGCATTTGGGCATTTCCTTCTCCCCAGTCTTCCTCCAGACTCTGGCACCTTGATTTCCGATTGACATGCAAAACTGAGCAACAGTCCAGTGCTGCTTCTCTGTAGCCCAGGTCAGGCGCTTCTGCCGCTGTTTCTGGTTCAAAAGTGGCTTGACCTGGGGAATGCGGCACCTGTAGCCCATTTCCTGCACACGCCTGTGCACGGTGGCTCTGGATGTTTCTACTCCAGACTCAGTCCACTGCTTCCGCAGGTCCCCCAAGGTCTGGAATTGGTCCTTCTCCACAATCTACCTCAGCGTCCGGTCACCTCTTCTCGTTGTGCAGCGTTTTTTGCCACACTTTTTCCTTCCCACAGACTTCCCACTGAGGTGCCTTGATACAGCACTCCGGGAACAGCCTATTTGTTCAGAAATTTCTTTCTGTATCTTACCCTCTTGCTTGAGGGTGTCAATGATGGCCGTCAGGTCGGCAGTCTTACCCATGATTGCGGTTTTGAGTAATGAAACAGGCTGGGAGTTTTTAAAAGCCTCAGGAATCTTTTGCAGGTGTTTAGAGTTAATTAGTTGATTCAGATGATTACGTTAATAGCTCGTTTAGAGACCCTTTTCATGATATGCTAATTTTTTGAGACAGGAATTTTGGGTTTTCATGAGCTGTATGCCAAAATTATCAGTATTAAAACAATAAAAGACCTGAAATATTTCAGTTGGTGTGCAATGATTCTAAAATATATGAAAGTTAAATTTTTATCATTACATTATGGAAAATAGTGAACTTTATCACAATATGCTAATTTTTTGAGAAGGACCTGTAAATTATTTTTACGTCTACAACGTAATGTATGCTCTTCTAACTATTCTTTTTCTATTATCTGTTTTGATGGATTTGAATGCAGTGTAATCATGATGACAAGTTAGCTAGGTGAAGAGGTATATAACATCATTGTCACATGATGTTTCCTTTGTTCCCATTTTCCCGCCACTTGTTTGTTTCCTTGGTTACTGATTGTTATGCACCTGTTTCAGTTTCTGCTGATTAGCCTCCCTCGTGTATTTTAGCCTTCAGTTCTCACAGGTCTTTGTTCGGTGTTGATTGGCATTTGTATTTATCTGGTTGTTTGATTTACTTCCTGTGTTTTTCTGAGAAAAAAACGATACCATTATTGTCTCCATGTAAACTACAAAAAAAGTGCATTTGTCAAAACGGTGATGTCATGCGTATTAGGTGTTCAGTCTATAGGCGCATAGTTTTATAGGCCAAAGTGGCATCGCCAAATACTGGCGTGGCATGCATAATACAACATTTTATCGTTTTCACGGATTGGTGTGAACAGGGATCGTTTTGACAATGGTGTCGTCCGTACGCGGAAAATGCAAAGGAAAAACATTTCCGTTTTTAGTACATCTTTTTCGTGTAAATGAAATTTTATTCTTTTTTAAAGCTAATAAAAATGGCAAAAGCACATAACACTACTAAAACATAAACTTAATTAAAAAATCTGAATTTATATTTAAAAAAAAGTTACATTTTTCTCATTTAACAGCGGATCGAATCAATGATGCACCTCCCACAATAGTATAACATCTCCTTAAATATTCCTTAAAGTGTATGGATAAATCTGCCCCATGTGCGTCATATTAAATCATGAATAAATCTCTACTCTGCTGCATCTGCACCGTTGCAGGATTGGCTTGTATTTATGAACTGTTGTGGTGTTTTGAATCACTGTGAACCGTGCAAATGAGCCTATTTCAGCAGACACTGTATCATCTCTGTTTCTCTTTCTCTTTCTCATACCCACCCAAACTAGAGGAATCCGTCTTTTGAAGTTAAATCTGTTCTGAATGTGCGCTGTGACATATGGCTTTGTTTAGTGGCCCCTTTCATGTCAACAGCAGGGGTATTTATGCATAAGACTGTGTGGAGGGCAATGTCCAGAAATGAATCCAGGGAGTGCCAATCAACAGGCTGTTGTTCCGGTTCTGGTCCTGTGGGTGAACCTGCTTTTAATGCCCAGTGCTGCCCACATGGCATATGTGCTTACTCAACCACACTACGACATATGGCAAATGTCAGCGTACTTTCAAACAAAGGGCTTTTCTGGAAATAAGAACCCATTAAGGCAGACAAAACATTCGTGTGATTAGTCATGGTACATTTTCAGACTATATTTATAAGCACGATTACATTAATCTTGTCAATTTTCCAGCTGTAATGGATTTTTAAATGTATTGGAATGTGTTGGAGTAGCGTGTATGCGACATCTGTCACTGTGGTTTATGCCAGAGTGCTGGTCTGGAAGCTAAATATCACATTAGAAAGTGTGAAATAGACCACACATATTGGTGTAATGCTCTTGAGGCCAAACAGACACCATGGCTTTTAGCACCTGACCTATTTCTACTGTACCATTCCACTCTACGCTTGCCAATCATTTATAATGCAAGAAATGTGAATGTATTCAAAGCAATCCGTCGTCAACTTGGTTCTTGGTCTTGTTGCAGGCAAATCCTACACTATGATTGGCAAGGATGATTCAATGCAGAGTTTCGGGATTATCCCGTGTGCCATCTCCTGGCTGTTTAAATTGATCAACGAGTGCAAGGAAAAGACAGGTGCGCGTTTCTCCGTACGAGTGTCGGCTGTGGAGGTCTGGGGAAAAGACGAGAACCTGAAAGATCTGTTGTCAGAGGTGGCGACAGGCAGTCTGCAGGACGGCCAGTCTCCAGGAGTCTACCTCTGCGAGGACCCCATCTGCGGGATGCAGGTAAACCCATAAATTCCTTTAATTATACAGTATATTGTTCATATAAGGGATTGTTCATATAATCACTGATTGATGCTAAAATACTGTGAAAAACAGATGTCAATTTTTTACAAAATTCATTATGATGTAAATAACGTAAGTCAAATTAAAGGTGAAGTGTGTAACTTTTTACAATGTAAAAATTTCTATTCCATTTTAATATGATTTCTCTAAAAAAATTGAAACCGTGGCACTATGAAAAAAAGCAACATTGTCTCAACCAATGTGTGGTTTTGGGGCCAGAGTTATTTTAGTATTATTCAGATATTATTATAGTATTTATTAATATTTTGAAATAGCTTTTTATTTTTTTTAGTTTGTTTCAGTTTTTTTTTAACCCTCTGGGGACCAAGGTGTTTTTGGGGTCCTTGAGATGTTTTGACATACCCTGACATTTGTGCTTTTTTCAGTTGCTTATAAACATATTAATGGCACAGGTGAAATTACACTCTATTTAGCACAAACAGGGCTACCATAATATGTGAGCAACATGTATGTACATGTTTGTATTTTTGAGAGAATACTGTTTATGCATGGTTATTGAAAAAACTAAAAATTAAAGTTTCTGAAATAAAGCCACAAAACACATACTAAATATCTGTCCACAAGACTTTTGACTAATGGAAGTTGTGGCCTAGAGTTTTTGCTTCAAAATGATCTGAAAATCATCCTTTCTAATCATTCACATAACACAATAGATTCTTTTAAATTGTGAAAAACATTTTTTTGTTAGCCAAGGCAATATGCGAATGGGCGTGAACGGCCCAACCCCATTGTGAATAATTAGGTGGTTGAGAAGACAAAGACCCCGCATATTAATGAGCCTTTCATTCAGGTGTGTCACACAAGAAAGAATGCAAGGACAACACACACACACACACACACACACACACACACACACACACACACACATACATACATACATACATATACATATATAAAATCAAAATATAAATGAAAGTCAAAAGTAAATTTTTAGTCATACCTGGAAACAAATCCTGTTCAAATAGGTTATATGGGCCATTCTACAGAATTGGTTCAAAGTTAGAGTTGGAAACATCTTGAAAAGAAAATTGTATTTTTCCATAAATGTTTTAGTAGGCCAATACATTTTATCATATTTCAAAGTTAACCCTCTGGGGTCCAAGGTGTTTTTTGGGTCCTTGAGATGTTTTGACATACTCTGACATTTGTGCTTTTTTCAGTTGCTTATAAACATATTACTGGCAAAGGTGTAATTACACTCTATTTAGCACACACAGGGCTACCATAATGTGTTATCAACATGTATGTACATTTTTGTATTTTTGAGAGAATATTGTTTATGCGTGGTTATTGAAAAAACTAAAACTTAAAGTTTCTGAAATAAGGCCACAAAACACATACTAAATATCTGTCCACAAGACTTTTGACTAATGGATGTTGTCGCCTAGAGTTTTTTCTTCAAAATGATCTGAAAATCATCCTGCCTTATCATTCCGTAAAACAATAGATTGGTTTAAATTTAAAAATGACACTTTTTGTTTGGAAAGGCAATATGCGCAGGGGTGTGACCTGCTGTGATTCACACCTGAGAAGACAATGGGCCCGCATAATGAGCGCATAATGGGGCTGCATACTAATGACCCTTTCATTCAGGTGTGTCACTGAGCCACAAGAATGCAATGACAATATATATATATATATATATATATATATATATATATATATATATATGCCTATATAATACAAAATTGGTTCACAGTTCCAATTATTTATTTATTTTTCAAATTGTGCTTTCAAATTGTATAATATCAAATGTAAAAATTTCTAGTAATTGTGCAGTTAATTATCAAACTGTTTTTACAGAAAGTTTGGGAATATATCCCAAATGTGTCACTAATAAAACACAATACAAATAATTTAAAGAGGAGGCTTATATTGAGCTTTTAAGATTTACCTAAGATTTATTTATATGTAGCCTACATATATTTTTGCTATTTTAATAAAAAGGTTACAATTACAACAACAATTAAAATTTTAACTATATTTCAAATGTAATCTTTCTTTGTATTATATACTAAAGTATACATTTTATCATACATATTTCACAGTTGCGGATTAATTAGTTTGAATATAGCTTACAATCGAACAAACACTATAATAACGTCTTAGCAAACAAGCTTATTTGATGTGGCAGTATTTTACAGTAAAAACGACATCTTGTCTTTCATATGTAACACATCGTTTTTATGATTAGGACATATAAATGTTAATTTGCAGTTTAATACGTTGCTTATACAAAAATATTTTATTTCAACATATTTCAGTCGATTTTTACTCATCTCAGTATTGGAATATAGTTAGGTAAAAGCTGTTCATTCATTCACACACAAAAACGCGATTCAAACAGTCTTTTTGTTTACAGACACTATTCCATATCGCGATTAGCACAAAGCACTTGAAAATAAAGAATGTACCTATTTCCTCGGCTGGATCCGTTGCTCCTCCAAATGAAACTACCTGTAGCCTACTTCTGAGGTAATTTTTTCCAGGATTATTATTAAGATAGAACTATTATTCTTCACAGCGTCGTAAATCTGAGTCTCTTTCGTGGGTTATCCAGCTGATGTGGGCGTGGATCGCATTTGTGTTTGAATAGAGCGCGCGCTCTGTGGGCGTGGTCAAATTAACTTTAATGAGCTGAGACGAGAACGACTATCATCTCTCTCTTTTCGTACAGATTACATAATATGAGAATTTTTTTTTTTTATATAAATTACTTCATTTAAAAGAAGATAATTCAGGCTTCATGCCTGTGTGCCTGTATACCTGTTTGACTGAGTATTTGCAGAGTTACAGATGATTTTTCGGACGCGTTTCAGAATGGACTTCACTGACAGAGAGAACGCAGAACGCGCATCATGTTTATTTTTCTTTATTAGGCGAAAAGCACAACACTTTGTTTTTATTATGAGGTTCCACAAAAAAAATACAAACTTAACAGGATCGAATGATGTACAACACTTATATGTAAGATCAAAATTAACAGAGTAATTTGAGTCTCTTTTGCACTGATAAGGAAAAAAGTGAGCTGGTATCGCCGGCGAGACCGCCGACCCCAGAGAGTTAAGTTTTAGTAATTTTGTTATGTGCTTTTGTCATTTTTATTTTTGAAATATTTTTATATAGCTTTATTTAATTTGTATTACTTATTTTGCTGCTTTCACACCATATCGTAATTACTGTAATTTCAAGATGACAACTCATGACGTTCTACTCAGTGCGGTTCACGTCCTCAGACTGGGAATTATGCATTTCTATGGTTACACTATCAACGCTTAAATAAATCTGCAGTGGTCAGGTGGTACAATTAGAGCGCCGTTTGACCAATGGTAGACAGGGCTACTGTTTTGACACTTGTTCTCTTTGTTAGTGATGTAGAAATTACACACTTCGGCTTTAAGATCCTTGATGACATGAGGCCAAAAAATTCATGCTTTTCTTTTCATTATGTATTCACTCTAAGATGGTCACAGATAAAAATAAATAAATAAATAATAATAAAAAAAAGTTTAACAATATTGCCACACTTTTTGCCTGTTTTCTGGAAAAACCCCCACAGATGACAGTTAAAAAAACAAAACAAGCATGACAATCACCTACCAATAAAGATACCATTGTTGGGTGAAATGCTAATACACGATGAGAGGATTAGTCGAGCAGAGACAACCCCTGTCTCTGTAATCCTCAGACATCTGCACTAATCTCATCTTGGACTGATACCTCACAGCAATGGATTGTAATGGCCTCACTTCTCCTGTTCCTATGACAGTCAGCCTTATCACACACAGCACACTTCAGACGTGATACCCAAGGCAGTGCTGACATGAAAATACTTTGGCCCAATAACAAACACATTTTTTTTCTTTTAATTTTTTTAGACAGTAAGACTTAACTGAGCTGACAGTATCTCAATACTTTCTTTTATTTTCTCTAGTACTGTTAATAGAGGTTGACAGATTTTTTGACTGATGGTTTTCTTCAAGAGCAGGTTGGCTGATATAGAGCCTATACACATACAGGGGTTGGACAATGAAACTGAAACACTGGCCAATGTATTGTTGAAGGTTTCACTGATTATACATTCTATCAGTAAGAGCAGAGTGTGAAGGTTGAATTAGCAGAGCAATAGCACAGCTGTACATAAAATAGTGCAATCCACACTACATAAATGGGAGACATTTCAGAGTTCAAAAGAAGACAAACTGTTGGTGCACATCTCGCTGGCTCATCTGTGCCCAGGACAGAAAGTCTTTGTGCTGTAACATGAGTCAGGGCAATGTCTGCATACCACCACTTAGGACGAACCACATCCAACAGGAGTAACTGTGGGCTGTAGACAATGTGAAGCATGTATTGTTCTCTGATGATCTCTTTCCCACATCCGTGAGAGTTACAGTGTGGAGAAGCCCTAAAGAGGTTTAACACCCGGACTGTTGCTGCCCAGAGTGAAGCACAGGAGTGGATCAGTGATGGTTTGGGCTGCAATATCATGACATTACTGTGCTTGATGGACGCCACCGAACCATTCTGGAGGACCATGTGCACCTAATGGTTCAAACATTGTACCCTGAAGGGGGTGCCGTGTATTAGCATGATAATGCACCAATACACACAGCAAGACTTGTGACAGAATGGTTTGATGAACATGAAAGTGAAGTTGAACATCTCCCATGACCTGTACAGTCACCACCATCTAAATACTTTTGAGCCACTTTGAGGTGTTTTGGAGGAGCGAGTCAGAACCTGACCGCTGTTCTGGAAGAGGAATGGCTCAAAATCCCTCTGGCCACCGTGAAGGACTTCTATCTGTCATTCCCAAGACGAACTGATGCTATTTGGCTGCAAAAGGAGGCCCTACACCATAATAATCAATTATTGCGGTCTAAAACCAGGTGTTTCAATTTCATTGTCCAAACCCTGTATATATATATATATATATATATATATATATATATGATACGAGCTATTCAACAAATGCTGCAATTAAATTTATATTTATTTTACATATTTACTTAATTAACTGGAAAATGAATCAATATCTAAAAATAATTTGAACTTGATAAAGAGCCAATCTCTTAAAATAGACCGATTTATAGTTTAGATAGCAGCTTCTTGATTCTGTAATCCTATTATGGTATTTTTCTACAAATAAAATCAAAATAAATGTCGCTTCTGGCAGTTATCGGCCAAACCGAACAACTTAGCTACTGATGCCGATAATAATGTTTTTAGAGTATTAAGTCAGTACTGTTTCTCAACCGAACCTTTTTACACAGTTACAGAATCAGAGTGAGTTGCGCGCCCCTACGGCTGAGAAGGCCGCTTTCTTCTTGGACGCTGCCATTGCTTCGCGCTACAGCAGTAAGCCAGACTATGATGAAGAGGAGCACCGTAACTCTCACATGCTCTTCACCCTACACATCTATCAGTATCGAATGGAAAAGACCGGCAAGGGTGGAAGTGAGTATCATTATAAGCTAGATATAGTTTCAGTAGAGACTCAACATGGGTTCTCAACTGGTTTTTGGTCTGTGACCTATTTTTTAGGTTTCAAAAATTTTGGTTATTCCTGGTTAAGGTTGGTAAGATACTTTTATGATGGATTACAACAGCATCTAAAACACAAAATAAGTTTCTGATCGGCTGTGTTAGACTTATCAGCAGTAATCTGCTCTACTCCATGGTTGATTTCAAACTTTCTCATTATACTTCCAAATGTTGTCAGCATGGTTTATAAATAGTCTGTTGCTGATAATCTTAGAGAGGGGTGTGATAACAGGAAAAAAAGTGCCATTGTTAATGTGAGATGTAGGATCTGATCTAAAAGCTGTCATGCTAAAGCTCGCTATTTCTGGAGAACAGTGCTAATTTCTCTTATCACAAAAAATGTTCTGTTTGGCACAAGTGTGGCCTGCCTCCTTCCAGGAGTGAACAGAAAGTAAAACCAGATGTGTTACAGTAGCTTGGGCTTTTAAGGTATTTGGGTAAGTTGAATTAACTGTGTATAATGAAGCTAATGTAAGCAGAGTCATGAAATCCACTCTAGATGTTTCCATGATGAAGGTCAACTTACATAGAGATATAATGTTGCCATTTGAAATATAGGGACAATTTTCACTAATAAGTTCCATTTATCTTTATTAGTCTACTAATAGGTTCCAATAACACTTCATAATGGAATTAGATGGTCATCATGAGGTTTTTGACAGTTTATACTGTCCTTTATATTTAAAGTTTCTTTACATTCTATTGCTTTTCCAGTTTCTTTGCAAGCTTGATATTTTCTTACTTTAACTAAGTAGCTATATACATGTTTTAAAAATGTAATATTGTGAAATATTATTACTTTAAAATAATATTATTCATTTAAAATGTATTGTAAAATGTAATTTATCCCTGTGATGGCAAGAACTCCAGTCTTCAGTGTCACATGATCCTTCAGAAATCATTCTACAGTAATATGCAGATTTTCTGCTCAAGAAACATTTCTTATTATTATCAATGTTGAAAACAGTTGTGCTGCCTAATATTTTTGTAGAAAAGTTCAAAAGGACAGCATCTTTTGTAACATTATAAAAGTTTTTAATGTCACTTTTGATCAATTTAATACATCCTTGCTGAATAAAAGTATTAATTTCTTTTAAAAATAAATCTTGGTTATGGTTGTGTAACACATCAATTACTTCAATTGAGTCACTTAAAATTGTCAATATGGTGTCTGGACCATTGGCCTAGGCATAAAGTAGAATGTTATGAAATATATCATATCAGAGTTAAGAGATTGATGAATGAAGAACATGTTAGAAACTCCTATCAGTTTTCCTGTTCCGATCTGACTGTGTGGCTCTTTTGCTTAGTGTCGGGAGGCAGGAGCAGACTGCATCTCATCGACCTGGGCAGCTGTGTGAAGGTTTTGAGCAAGACCCGTGACAGCACTACAGGACTCTGCCTCTCTCTTTCGGCCCTGGGGAACGTCATATTGGCCTTGGTCAATGGCAGCAAGCACATCCCTTACAAGTGAGACCTTTTCTTTTCACATTATATGATCTCAACAAAAACACATTGGGTCTCATTCATGAAACACGAGCAGAACGAATTTTTGTGTAAATCGTGTGTAAAGTGGTTCTGGCGTAAATTTTCGGATTCATTAAAATGTTCGTATTTTTCAAATGTTAGTTGGTACACAAGAAATCTACACCTGCTCCCAGCCACGCGTAAATAGTGCGCTTAACACCCGAACGTTTTGCTCATTAATAAGGCTGCATTTTAATTCACCCTAATCGGGTACATATTTGCACAGCATTTTGAAAAATTATTATATATAGTAATTACATACGGTTTTTCTTATTATGAGAGCCAGTAATAGCATCTGCGATGGTGGTCCTTCTCCAGTTTGAATACTATTTTTCCGAAGTGAACTAATTCGTTTTTTGCTCTCAAGCTTAATGTCGAACCATTTTCTTCTCACTTCTGGGAATGTTCGATTAACAGATGAAACTCCATTAACTGCATCTGTAATATGCTGCCAAGCTTCCTTTTTTTTAGGACCCGATACGCCACTATGTACGCTTGAAAATAAAATGTGGCGTCTTGAATGAACTTCTGATAATAAAACTTCAATTTCTGCATCTGAGAATTTTTTTTTTCATTCGCATTCGGATTTATGGTAATTGAGAATGAACGTGCACGCGCATCCCATATACGACTGATTGGAATTCATTAACACACACACACATTTCACTATCACATCTGACGTTTACGAAGTATTTGTGAATCAGGAGAAGAGTTTTCGGGAAGGTCTCTTTACGTGCAAATCACTCGCATATTTACTCGTATATTTACGAATGTTTCATGAATGAGACCCATTGAGTTCAACTTTTCAGACGGATACTGTATGTTGCAACCTCAACGACAAGATTACGATTATACTGTGATGGGTGAAGTCATTCGGCAGTCGCTCGACTCATTAAAGATGCAACATGTTTAGTCTTAATATCTCTGCTGCATGCCGTTAATTCTTCATGAACACACCTCAAATGAATAATATATACAAACTGACATTTTCCAGGCTTTGATGTGAGCAGTTATTAGTGGATTCTAATGCTACGTTGAATCTGCAGAGAGAATGTAACCTTTATCGTTCCTCAGGGGTAATAGCTTAGTGAATTAGCTTGTGCCAAGCAGCCATAGAGACAGATGCAGTTTCACATTTACTGGGATTCATCGAACATTCTTAACACAGACCATTTCTCTGCAACTGCTGTTTTATTTCTTTTAAGCAGCATGTTAATTTCAGTTAAACAGACAACTTTTAGAAGGTGCCATGCATTTTCCAGCAGCTTTGTTTCCTAAAAATTTGCAGCGCTTCCATTTAGCTCCCTCAAGGCACGTTTGCATTTTATGCCATGGCTCCCTAATTTAATCATGGCGAATTTACATTGCAAAGCATCATGGGGTTTAAGGCTGGCAACGCATCCGCTCTGGAGAGCCCAGATATAATTAGGGTTTACAGCCTTTTAGGAGGAATGCAACATTTGCACAAGATAAATTGAATTAATATGCGTGTATCATAAATGAATATAAAGTCACTAATTTTAGATAGTGATTTAATAAGAGCTAAATAGTATATTAACTGCCTATGATCTTTGTAATTGGCTGTTTTAACCTTTATGTCAAATCTAGAATATTGTTTTGAATTCTGAATTTTTTATCAATTCGGAATATATTCATTATTGATTTTACACAACAATGCATTCAGTCTATGGCACAATATTAGAAGTAATAACCAGAAACACTTTACATGTGTTTCGTAATGAATTTTTACAGTACATATTTTGCCATGAGGTGAATGTTATCTTGATGGCATATCTCTAAAACATGTATTTTTGCTACGTCATGGTTAGTAAATTATGCTTGTATAATTTATGCTTAGTGAAATAATTTTATATTTTTTATAATTTATAGCTCAGCCATGTGTTCACTGTCTTAATAACCACTCAAGATTGACTACACACTTCACTAACCATATTTAAGCAAATCATCCAACATCAAACAAATTAGCACAGTGTCACTGTAATCACATTACTGTACACTCTGTTGCTGTAGTCCGTGACAATATTTTACTTCAAGTTATTGTATAGGTCATTGATTTCTGAGAACTGAACTTGCATGTGCATATCGTAATGCTAGCTGAGTCATCCTTGAAAAGCAGTTTTATGTCACCTCTAATGGTTGCCATAGGGAAGGCAGACAGAACAGGAAATGCCAATCCAAGTCTCTCTCTCTCTCTCTCTCTCTCTCTCTAAATTGAATCAAGGACACTTCAGCAAATCAAAATGACCAAAAAGGTTCTATCCATTGTTATTATTAATAAGGATAATTTTAGAAGATTAGACTAATTGCTAAATGTGATGCAGGTATTCAGTATAAAGTTGTTAAAAAGCCTTGATTTTGAATGCTCTACCATTTTACAAATATATTTTGTTCTTAAAAGGGTTAACTCATCTTACAGTTTATGGATCTTCACTGTTATTCATCAGGTTACACAATTGGCATTCTGCACAAATAAACGAATGCCATTTTTGTTTACAGAGATAGTAAGCTAACCATGCTATTACGAGAGTCCCTGGGAAACATGAATTGTCGCACCACCATGATAGCCCACATTTCCTCGTCACCCAACAACTTCTCAGAGACACTTTCCACCCTTCAAATTGCCTCTCGTGTTCTTAGGCTGAAGAAGAAGAAGGCTAAAGTAAGCGTGGTATGACCCTGTCCTTTATTTTATTGAACTTTCTTTTACCTTAAATAGATTCACCATTGTATTTTATGTTTAGTTGTTTAAAATGCAGTCACATGTTTTCTTTTGTAGCAATACACATCCAGTTCCTCTGGTGGTGAGAGCTCATGTGAGGAAGGAAGAATGCGTCGCCCAACACAGCTGAGGACCATCCATTCTAGAAATGTTGTTGATTCAGAGATGCCTCTGCTACACCTCTCCAGTGACCCTGAAGACTATTCCAGCAGCGAGCAGTCATGTGACACAGTTATCTACGTGGGACCAAATGGCTCAGCTCTTTCGGACAAAGAGCTAACGGACAACGAAGGTCCTCCAGAGTTTGTTCCTATCATTCCATCCCTGCATAAAAATAAAGCAGATCTTGTCCAGGCTCCTTTGACATCACAACCATCTCAACAAGTTGTAGACCCACTAGCTCAGGCCTCACAGTCTGTCCAACCTTTGCAGCCCATTCATCCTCAGCCACTTCCACCTTTGCCAGAGGAAGGTGCTGAGTCGGGTAAAAAAGAGAAGGACTGTCTTAAGTGTAACACTTTTGCGGAGCTACAAGAGAGGCTGGAATGTATTGATGGAAGAGAAGAGGTTACAAAATTCCCTTTTGAAGAAATCCCTGACAACAGAGCTGCCAAATTTGAGTCTGGCCATGGTCAAGTCGTTAAAGGGTGTAATCAATCCAGTTCTCCAAAGAGGATATCTGACCAGCAACTGGCGGAGATCCGTGAGGTGGTTGAAGAAGCAGAGATCGCTCAGTCAATAATTGAAAGCCTGACACAGTGTTCAACAGGCAGTTGTGGACTCTCCAGCAGCAGAAGTGTGACTGGTAGCAGTGGTATTGGGCAACTACCCCCTCTTCAGAGAGCCAAGAGCTCCAGTTTGCATGACAGTAGAGAATCCATCAGTGGTGGAAGCAGCAGTGAGAGTAAGCCTCGTCCCATGGGCTCCCCTCGATTGGGAATTGCCAGTCTTACTAAAACCTCAGAGTACAAACCACCATCCTCTCCCTCTCAACGCTGCAAAGTGTACACCCAGAAAGGAGTAATGCCTGGTACACCTCCTCACTCCTCACAAAATCTTAATTTAGACTATAGAAAGTCATCTACAGAGTCTTTGCTTAATCCAGAGTCTAGAACTTCTCCAGTGGGGATGAGCCCACAGGTCCTAAAGAGATCTTCATCCACCAATAGCCTTGGATCAGCTGAGACACTGTGTGACGATGTTCCCCAGCTGCCTTTGGACAATAAGAAAGATGTGAAGGACACCACAGCCACAGTTATGCTGGAGCATCCTTTGGAACCCAATGGAGAGGATGAGCTGGTGTTCACCCTAGTAGAAAAGCTGACAATTAGTGGGATGATGGAAAATGGCAGACCAACCAGTATTATCAGCTTTAACAGTGACTGTTCGTTGCAGGCCATGGCATCTGGATCAAGGCCTGTTAGTATCATTAGCAGCATAAGTGAAGACCTAGAACACTATGCCACTGCTCCCTGCACTACCACCACCACCACTATCTCACAAGTCAACATTAATAAATTCCTGCCTCTCAGCAGGATAGAAGGGGACGTCCAGGCTAGTCGCCGTTCCTCAATCAGCTCATGGCTGAGTGAAATGAGTGCTGGCAGTGATGGCGACCAGTCATGTCATAGCTTTGTTGCTCAGCAGTGCTTTGGACAAGGTGAGGCACTAGCTGAAGACAGGCTTTTGGAAATTCAAGAAGAAGGTGACATTGAAGTTCTCCCTGAGTCAAATGGCCAAAGCAACTCAGAAAAAGAGAGTGATTCCAATACAACTGAAGTGAATGAAAAAAACACAACAACTAAACACAAACTAGACAAACTGTCCTCAACCTTAGGTGTCTATGTTCCTTTTAAGACCAATATAACAACTCACCCATGTGCTGCTGTTAAGCCAATAGTTGTGCAGGACTTACTTACCAAAACCCTTCCAGTTAATGATCTCAAATCCCCACCTGTTCCAATCTCAAGTGAGATAAATTTTGATGACCCATGGATGAAAAGAGAGGGCAATGAAGAGACCAAGCCTTTGAACATGGTCTGTGATGTCAAATCAGAGAAGAGAACATCTGAATCAGTGAAAAGGAAATGTCAATTCGACAAGCATAGCTCAAGTAGTGAAGCAGCATGTTCCCCTGATTCCATGAACCGGGTGGTGGATGGCTGCGAGATGGTTTTCAATGCACCCGAAAGCATAACTCAAGTGTACTCTGCAGACATCCTCAGGACAGGTAGTCTCCCTCGTGCATGGCATCGCTTAAATAAGCAAGATGATCTGGAAGACCCTACATACCGGTACATGAGTGGAGAGTATAAAAGCCTTGGGGTTACCACCTCTACTCCCTGCAGTCCAAGAGCCACACTCGAAAGAAGAAGTTCCATCGGAAGGCAAGGTATCTTTGCTCGCCAGAAAGGAATCCCGCCATTGCCACCTGTAAGGAAGTCTAGCCTTGACCAGAGGAATCGAGCAAGCCCACAGCATAATCCAGGAAATGCTCAAACCCCACACCAGTATCTATCTTTCCTTGGTGGCACACCTGAAGACTTGGGTGGTAAACATAAAGGACCAAATGTGGAGAGCAGTAGACTTTTCAGTGCCAAACTTGAGCAGTTAGCAAACAGAACCAATTCCTTAGGGAGGTCCTATGTTGCACATTATGACTGCAATTCCTTGGAGAGAGCTGAGAGTTTGACCTCTCTGGGCTCTAAAGGAGGAGTCACAAAAGACAGTACAATGCCAAGGACAGGTAGGAGCATCACCCGTGGTTTGCTCTCATCACCCACCAACGGACCAAATGGCAACAACAATGTACTGCAGTCACCCAAAGCAAGTCAATCCAAAATCTCTGCAGTTAGCAAACTCCTTATGGCAAGCCCCAAAGCTCGAAGCTTATCAACCTCTAGCACTAAGACCCTAAGTTTCTCCACCAAGTCCCTCCCACAGTCAGTAAACCGGAGCTCAAGTTTGCCCCCCAACGGAAAGAACCAGAACCAAAGTTCATGGTCAACCCAGTCCCTAAGTCGCAACAGGGGGACTGGGCTTGTATCTAAGCTACCTTTAAGAGCAGTGAATGGACGAATCTCTGAGCTTCTACAAGGTAGCGCCAACTCTCGCACTAACCAAGGACGAGGAGCTTCAGACACCGAAGAGAGAGGAGCAGCAGTCCAAGGAGAGGAAAGGCCAGTGGTCCATACTTTACCCTCACCTTACAGTAAGATCACTGCCCCAAGAAGGCCTCACCGTTGCAGTAGTGGGCACGCCAGTGACAACAGCAGCGTGCTAAGCGGAGAGCTTCCTCCCGCCATGGGAAAGACTGCCTTGTTTTACCACAGTGGTGGCAGCAGTGGCTATGAGAGTATGATACGAGACAGTGAGGCCACAGGAAGCACATCATCTGCTCAGGACTCGATGAGTGAAAACAGCGGTTCTGTCAGCAGTCGAAGGAGCCTAAAGAATTCGAAGAAAAGAAGTAATACAGGTAAGCAAATATAACATGATTCAAAATATGATTCTTTATACAGAAAATCCTGAATATCAACATAAAAAATTATTTGATGGCTCATCATGGCATTCATCTTTCTACATTTCAACAATACAAAGATCTATTGACAGGATAATTAATGAACTGTGCTCAAAAAATTTATTGTACTACAAAGCTTGTAGGGCTCATTCCAGATTATAGATGGAAGTAACATAACTATTTAAACAGATTTACTCCCTCGAACATGCTTGGATGATCTGTTATGACACAGACTGATAGCAGTTGCCAAACTTAGCTGTAGGTGGTCTTTGAATATTTAGTGCTGCCTAAATTCCTGAATACACACCTCCTCTCCCATTTCCCCAGGCAAATAATTTTACCCTATTTCTCTGCACCCAAACATTTGCATGGTGGGAAGTTCTGGGAACACTGAAAATTAAAATCCTGGCTATGGAACAACAGACACAAAAGCTGGAACCTGCAAAGAAAATCAGTATTGTAAAAGGCTTTGCAAGGTGAAGGATTTAAAAGCACAACTGCCATTCTGAACGTTCTCCTGAACTCAGAGCACTCTCTCTCTCTAAAAATGAGGGAAGACTGAAAGTTTGACCTTTCTTGTGCTGTTTTCAGACCAACTGACAAGCTGAAACACATTAATATTACCTTGTTCCTTGGTTCCAAATCAGATAGCATACCAGTAGACCTGGAACTGTCAATTTCTATGCAAATAGGGGAACCACTTCTGGCAAATTCCTCAGTGTAGACTTCGTTCTCCCAGACTGGTCAGATAAGATACTGTCCTGACATTATCTCAGTGGTCTTTTTCATTACACGGCTGCTCTGAATTGGTAGCAGTGCTGCTCCGTGTGCTGTAGGTTAAACTTTGGCTCAGCGCTGTGACACTTTTACACTTTTTTTTGTCTGGCGTACTTACAAAGCAACTTAAGTTTGATAAAATGTGTTTACATAGTGGTCATAACATGACATTGTTTCATATCCAGGGTCCCAGAGACGCCGTCTAATCCCTAACCTCACCTTGGACACCTCCTCTCCCGTGAGAAAGCCAGTCATCAGTCCAGGGGTACGCTGGGTGGATGGCCCCCTCCGGCCCACACAGAGGGGTTTAGCTGAACCTTTTGAGATTAAGGTTTATGAGATTGATGATGTTGAACGTTTACAGAGGAGGCGAACCGTAGGTAATAAGGTAAGAAGAGTGAGCAGCAGGGGGTTTTAACAGCAATTCTTTTGAACATGGTATAGATGTCTCACGTATTGTTGTTGTATCCCCAGGAAGTAATATACTTTAGTGCCAAACTGAAGATCTTGGAGCATCGGCAACAGAGAATCTCAGAGGTGCGGGCCAAGTACGATTGGCTGAAGAAAGAACTGGAGCAAACCAAACAATATCTGATGCTGGAGCCAGAGAAATGGACCACTGAATGTAAGTGATTTGCACACTTTGAGTTACAGTCAATGGTACTTTATTGAACTGTTTCTAGTCCAAGAAATGATAGCCATATACTGTATGAATTAGGGGTTGCATAGACTAGTCGACTTTAATGCTCTGCCATGACGCTTTAAGCTTGACATAGTCACTGATCATGGCCTATAGAGGGCGCAACAGGATAATACATTTTTGAAGTCCACTTTTACGATCTATTTTCAACAGTTTGCCAGCAGCCATATCACCCTGTAGCCCAAGGCTGGTTGCCCACTGAAGCTACGCAGGGCTGAGCCTGGTTAGTACCTGGATAGGAGACCTCCTGGGAAAACTAGGTTGCTGCTGGTGGAGGTGTTAGTGAGGCCACTAGGAGGTGATCACCCTGTGGTCTGTGTGGTGGGCATTCTGGCGCAATATGGCTGCTGTCCAGGGCAATATTCCCTCTAAGCTGCGCACTTCAGATGCCTCGGCCGCGCACTTCTGAAGCGACGGCCGCGCAGAAAAGAATAAAATGCCACGCAGAGGACTGACGCGAAATGTGTGGGGAAATCCATTTGATTGTAGTTTAAGTGAGAAATAATTTCAGTGCTCTGGTCAACCGCTATAGAGTGAAAACTGGTGAATGCTGGTGAGCGCGTGTGATTGGCAGTGAGTCGTGTGTGCGGACCAAATAGCTCAATACGAGAGGCAACGAGAAACACAAAGACGTGAAATAAAATCACATCATAATGTTTTAAAGAAGAGTGGTTTGATCAAAGTGGTATAATATTATAATATGTAAACAAATTGAAGCATTAAAACTGATATAATATATCACTTCAAATACTTCAATTTGATATTATATTAGGCCTATATTTTATTATATTATAAGCCTAAATAAAGAATCTCACAAGGGTATTGTTTAGGTTATATTAGACCTATATTTTATTATATTATAAGCCTAAATAAAGAATCTCACAAGGGTATTGTTTAGGGCTCCTTGCCATTAAAAACTTTGAAACCCCCTGCTAAAGAAAATATTGGAAATTCATAAGCAATAAACAATCATTTAACTTTGATGGTTTAATGCTTCCTGTACACAATTTATTGACTGTACAAAAACACTTTATGGTTTTCCCAAACCATCTCAGTGTAACAGCTTACTTTTCTTTCATACTATTCTATTATTGTAAAGAATTGAATTGTCCTGCAGAAGATTTTGTAAATTATTTTTCATAGGATTTCTTGGTAAAGACTGTACAGTTAACAGCACTGGAAAAGAAAAATATCAGGTAACCTAAAATGTGCTTCATTTAGTGACTTCTTAATTAACTGCTTGTTTTTCGAAAATATGATTTAATACCAATAAGTTACATCAAGGTTCAAATAAAATTGAAATGGCACATTCAAGTTAAAAGTTACAACTGAATGTTGAAACCATTGTGTTTCTACGTATGCTGTACAGGTCAGGTATAAAGAATATTTTTGCTCAGGTGGCGAAAAATGTCCGCCCAATAGAAAAAAGTTTTGCTCAGCAAGAAATAAAATTAGAGGGAACATTGGTCCAGGGGTATAACTACAGACAGTGCAGCTGGGGGGCCCGTGCTTGCGGACCCTGCCCACATCGCAAGCAGGCCCATGGCGACGAAGTGATTTCGCAGGATACTTGCAATACTCACATTTCAAAGGAAATACGCTGATTTGTGATTCAAAATCACACGTCATTCACGCTGCTTACTGTATGTAGACCATTTCGTATCAGAGCATGTGAGCCGCTCCATGCCAGCTCGCTCCACAACGTTTGCTCAAATCACGCTCCAGCATGAAATTTCTATGCACTGTACTACATGTAGCGGTTATCATTTTGCATAGATGGCCTCAGCACATTACTACCATATATGAATAGCGATCTGCGCATGAGTGTGATCATATTAATGATAATTAGCTGGTCTAAATTAAGTAGGTTAGGCACACAAATTCGCTTATAAAGGGTTCTCTTCTAGACCACGAGCGCAGTGTGTGTGTGTGTGTGTGTGTGTGCGCTTCATAACTGTGGGGCCCGTCGTAATAGCCTGCACTGGGGCCCGTCATTACGAAGTTACACCACTGCTGCTGTCGCATCATCCAGGTGGATGCTGCACATTGGTGGTGGTTGAGTAAATTCCCCCCATGTAAAGCGCTTTGAGTGCTAAGAAAAGCGCTATATAAATGTAAATGACAAATAAATGCATACTCCGAGAGCGCTCCACAAGATATGTTTGATTATACCATCTGGATGCTCAAAATTGATCGGGTGAATGCACATTTGTTCATTAATGATGTCATTAGCCACAGGTTGGTGTCGACTCGCATAAATCACCTAAATGTCGACTTAGAAAAACTTAAAAAATGTTGATTATGACAAAAATACTAGTGTGGTGGTCAGTTAACTTCTGTCAGTTAACATCCATTTCCTTCACTTTTGCAGTTGACCTTCAGCAGACATTTGAAGTGGACTCTCTGGAGTACTTGGAAGCTCTGGAGTTTGTCACGGAACGACTGGAGAACCGGGTCAACTTCTGCAAAGCTCATCTGATGATGATCACGTGCTTTGACATCACCTGCCGGCGACGGTAAAAGATTTGCCAAGTATTATGGACAATTGGAAGTGGAAAAGGCTCAGCAGGGTGTATGTGAGCAAGTTACAAGTTCATCACAACAATGATGGCTGAAATGAATGGGAAAATATAAAGGCTTAATATTTTTCTAAAATAGATTTTTGGTGGGAAACAGAAAACGCTGGACTTGGAGAGTTGACGAAAAGAAAGAAAAAACCTTTGTCCCACATAGCTGGATGAGCACTTTGGAGTCAATGTTTGCGAAAATGACTTGCTCGCTTTCTGTGAACAAACAAATTATATTACCATATGTGGATAAAAGAACAAGTCGTTAAAGAAGATGAATGAAAAACAGAACAAAAAGGACGACAAGTGCCTTGTGAACACTTCAATATCTTGGAAATCAATGGGGAAAAAAAAATCCATATTTGTGTACAGATGGTGCTAGCCTAAAAAAAAAACATGCATACAAACAAACACAAAAAAGTTTAAAAAGTAACGAGAAAAAGAAAAAGAAAACACTGCTTGTTAGATTATGTGTTTAATCTCTTTGATTCTGTCTCAGTATTTGTATTGTCAGACACTAGTCACATTCAACATGAACTGTTACGTGTGTTTTATATTATTTTTTGTATTCTTGGACACACTGAGACCACATAGAGTGTTTCATATTCAATGAAATAGCACAGCACGATTTCTAGAAGAATGATTCTGGCATTGGCTCATTGATTTTTCACATCCCCTGCGGTTATGTTGGCATTTTCAGCAATGTGACGCCTCGGGGCTGGGCCACTTCAGCGTGTCACGGTTGAGAGGCGAGAAGAATCCTCAGTCTGGCAGGACCAACAAGGATCTTTAATATCGGTAACAAAAATAAAGGCTTTTTGCTGCATGCCAACTTCTTGGACATTTTTAATTGGCTTCTGCGAAAACTTCCCTAAATGATGTTTTTCATCAAATACAACTCATTGAATTGAGGCTGTTTTATTGCATTCCAGATAAGATTGATGCATATGTCTGGTCATTGGCCTTCTCTCTATGTGGTCTCATTGTCAGTCTGCTGACACTTTGGTACAGTATAAATCTGTTTATATATACAGTATATATATGGTGCTTGAGACAGTTTCAGCTCTAAACGTTTATAGATGACTACATAGCCTGTTTCTGGTACTAACTAAAGACTTCATACGCTTCTCCATTCCCGCTTCACTCCTCTTCCCTGACCCCTGCCAAAGCAAAGGGGAGCGACATTCCTGCTGCCCTTTTGAGCTTTTGGCAATGTAATGAATGAAGGATATTATTTATTTTTTACCTCAGGATGCCTGTATGACAGAGATGCTTATATTCTATAATTTATTTAGCCTGCAAAAGCACTATGCATTAAACTTGTACAGTTGCTAAATTCATGCCATATATATATAAAATATACTATATTTCACTTTTGTTCTTCTTTATATATTATATAGTTGTTGTTTTTTTAAACGCCTATCGCCAAATCGTGGGAGAACACGTCATTTCCATGTTCATTCATGAAATGTTTCATTACAACCCGTCACATCGTGGATTGTTCAACTGATTGTGTGATATGCAGTACAATGTTAAACGAATATCGTCTTTAATGCGCTTTAATGTTCAAGAACACGGTTGCGAAACTAAGATCTCGCCTCCTTTCAGTCATGTGAATAGAAAGGAAAAACACAAAAGACTGAGAGATGTATGATTGAAGAAGTTAAAAGTTGTCAACATATTGCTTGATGTTAATACTGCGACAGTCGGCATGATTTCTTATGCTATGGGGGAAAACAGAGCTTGGATGAGAGTTTGATCATACAGACTGATGTAAATAAAGGACGTTTTGGAATCTGCATTCTTTTTCTGCTTTATTCTGCACAAATAATTTTCAGTTTAATCTTCTCTTAGTTGTTTTCTCAGCTACTATAAAGGGTTTTTTTCACCACGTTTTTGTACAGGTGCAATCTGCAGCATGAAACTTCTGCTTTTTGATGGAATTGCTTATAAAAAGGAATGAAAGCAACCTTTAGTCTGTCTGTTTTTATTCAGTTATTATTTTAATTCAATATACGCAGTTTCATTTTACACACCTCTTCAAACAGATATGCCTGATCCTCGACGCTTGCAGACAAGATGGATCTTTATCAGCTTTAATGAACAGGCATCATCCAGACGCAGTTCGATAGAAAATCATATCAGACGTCAGAGAAACACAGGAGAGTTTATGAGCTTTACAAGTGTATGATAATTCACCCTACGCCTGACAGGACTAATACAGAAAATAACACATCTTATCAGTGATCCTGATGTTTAATATGAAAGATCTCATTGTAATAATAAAAGTAAACTGATTTCTATTACTTACCTGTGATATTCTCCTGTGTGTATAATAATAGATGTGTATATACTTCGGCGTTTGTAAAACCATATTTCAGTTAAATGCAGTCCATTTAAAGTCCCCATGTGGTGAAAATCAAGCTTTTATTGTTGTTTATAAGTCTATGAGGTGTTTTTAATATGCTTTAAGACAAACCATGTGCAAATTCATAAGTCAACACCATTGCTGAGTTTTTTCTCTTTAAAACTGCAGTGAACCAAAGACTGTCTCAAAAACGTGGTTTGAAATCGCTGGTGTTTCTGACGTCACAAACTACCTTGTAACCAATCAAGTCAACGTGTGATCGTCAGCAAGTGGATCTCAGAGCTGGTGTGAGTGAGTGGAGGCGGGGCTAATTTGCATATTCATGGAACCGCGTATGCATAATGAGGTTACATTCTAGCTATTTTAAGGCATGACAAATTTTTCAAAGGAAAAAACGTTTAAATATGAAATTTCGGTGATCAAAGATGAGGTTTAAGGGATAAAGTTATTGACTACAGGGGGACTTTAAGTACAATTATAATGATCCTACAAGTTCAAATAAACATATATGAGGGAAGAACAAAACTTGAGCACATTACGTATCTGACTGCAATTATTTGACCAAAAAGGGCAAACTACAGCTACAAATTTTATTTTGTATAGATAAAAAAACGTCTCAGGTTACAACTGTAACCATAGTTCCCTGAGAAGGGGAACGAGACGATGCGTCATCGACGCTTTGGGAACGCCCCCAGCGTGAATGCGTCTGAGCATCAATGTCAACTAGTCCAATGGAAAGAATGAGCGTCACGGGCGGGTGACGTCATGACCAGGAAGGCATAAGAGCACATCCGGTGAAACGCGGCATTAGCTTCAAAAAGTCGAAGCAAGCCGATCACAGGGATGCAGGAAGTATGGCAGGGTGACGCATCGTCTCGTTCCCCTTCTCAGGGAACTATGGTTACAGTCGTAACCTGAGACGTTCCCTTTCGAGGGAACTCGCGATGCGTCATCGACGCTTTGGGAACGAGAATACCCAAAACGCCAGAATTCCAAGTACCTGAGTGTTAGTCTGTTGGAACTAAGCACTAAGCACCTGAGAACCTGGGGCAGCATCCAGGTCCAAACTGTAAAACCTGACGAATGTGAGCGGTGAGGACCAGCCTGCCGCATCACATACGTCTTGAAGAGAAACTCCAAATAATAAGGCTTTAGAGGCCGCCATACCCCTCGTAGAGTGAGCTCTGACCACCAAAGGACACGGCTGGTCAGAGTACTCGTATGCAAGTGAAATAGCCTCAACTATCCACTTACTAACCGTCTGTTTAGAAGCAGGAAGACCCTTCTTAGGTGATCCAAAGCAAATAAATAACTGGTCGGACTTCCTCATAGACGATGTCCGATGAACATAAGTATCCAGTGCTCGCACTGGACACAAGAGGTTCAGCCTTTCCTGGTCCGCAGATGTAAAAGGAGGAGGACAGAAAGCCTGCAGCACGATAGGCCTCGGAATCAAGGTCGGCACCTTAGGGACGTATCCCTGTTTTGGATATAAGAATGCCTTGACCATCCCCGGTGCAAACTCAAGGCAAGTGGGGGAAACCGAAAGGGCCTGAAGGTCTCCAACTCTCTTAAGGGACGAAATAGCTAGCAGAAAGATAGTCTTAAGGGTAAGAAATTTCTCTGAAACCGAATCTAAGGCCTCGAATGGAGCCCTAGACAGGCCTTCTAGTACTATTGCCAAATCCCAAGCTGGCACCCTAGTGCGAGATGCAGGCCTCAGCCTCAATGTGCCACGAAGGAAACGTGTAATCAGGGGGTCTCGACCCAACGATGTACCCCCCACCAGGGCGTGGTAAGCCGCAATGGCCGCCACGTAAACCTTAAGTGTGGAAGGACATAAACCTGACGTAAAGCGCTCCTGCAAGAACTCGAGTACTGTGTTCACAGAACAGTTAACCGGATCCCACTGATGTCGGTGACACCATACAGAAAAAACTTTCCATTTCAGCGCATATAGTTTCCTAGTAGCTGGAGCTCTGGAGCTTAGAATGGTCTCAACAACCTCAGTTGAGAGACCACTCTCTATGAGTTGGGCCCCCTCAGAGGCCAAACCCACAGATTCCAAATCTCTGGTCGGGGGTGAAATATTGTGCCCCTGGCCTGAGACAGAAGTGGACAGTGCGTCGTATGCTGAGACGCAAACAGATCCACCTCTGCTTGGCCGTAAAACTCCCAAATTTTCTCCACCGCCTCGGGGTGGAGTCTCCAGTCCCCTGGCCTCAGCTCCTGCCTCGACAGGATGTCTGCCCCAATATTCTGGTCCCCAGGAATATACACTGCCCTCAGGGAGAGTACCTTCCCCAGAGACCACAGGAGGATCTGGTGCGCCAGCTTGCAAAGCGGACGCGACCGCAGACCCCCCTGACGGTTCAGATAAGAGACCACCGATGTGTTGTCTGTACGGACGAGCACATGATGGCCCCTCAGGTCTGGGAGGAATTGCTTCAACGCATTGAAGACAGCCATCATCTCCAGGCAATTTATGTGCCAAGAAAGATGATGACCCCTCCACCGACCCTGAACCGAGCGGCCTTCCATTACCGCTCCCCAGCCGGTGAGGGAAGCATCTGTCGAGATCGTAACTCGATGGCAAAGAGCTCCCAACACCGGACCCTGGGTTAAGAACCAGTGTTTCCTCCATATAACCAAGGCACGAAGGCACCGCCGCGTGATCTTGATCATACGAAGTGGGTTTCCCCTCGGGGAGAACCCTCTGGTCCTGAGCCACCACTGTAAAGGTCTCATGTACA